ACATATTTTGCAATTACAAGTGGCCTTCACGTTTATGAATGACTAATTCTGTGCAGCAACCACTTACCTATAAAAGCTCCACGTTGCAACTCAGCGGGTACACAAATATGTCTATTCTCTAATGTGACATTACATTACATGTCATTTTGTTAGATGCTTTTATCCAAAGCGATTTACATACATTCAGTACTGTGGTCAATCCCCACAGGAGCAATTTGGGGTGAAATGTCTTTCCCAGGGACACAACGACATGCTGAGAAAGAATCAGTACAGAGCCATGATGTGGTACAGCACTTCATGAGTGCTACAAGATAATGATGCGTTCTTTTATGGATCCTTTTCAAACATTTGATATATTAGATCCATGTGAATCACTTGGGTTAACCATCTGGCCAATGTGCTGGCGAAGGAAACACTGACATGCACTGTCAATGTTTATTAAGCGTTTCATGTTTCAGAAATGTCCACTAACTGTTGAGGCACTTTAAAATCAGCAGGAAAAAGTTGGTTACAATAATATTTTCCAATATGGAAAAACCACACGCACACTCAAACACTTTTCCTTCTCAGGGACTCTCTCTGGAATTTCGTCCCCTTCTCTGAACACAACAGTGACGACCTTCATAATGACATTTCCTGTTGCCTGCAGTCCTCGCTCTGGCAGCACTCAGTGCGGCAGATCGACTGTCCGCTCCAAACACTCACACTCCTAACACTTCATAATGTACCATTTTCACTTATGGCCTCAGTCACAGCATGAGCGATGAATGTTGTCATCCTTTTCTCACATGATACCAGCCCCCCATCCCCGTAGAGTGGCATAACAATCTCACTACGACTGCTATGAATGGATATGACTATGATACTGTTAAAAAAAGCTTAAAATTGCCAAGGAATATAGAATTGATAGTGGTTAGGACAACCTACTGCAATAAATGTAGAAAAGAGGAAAATATCTATTAATCAATTGTCACAAAATGCTTGCTAGGAATCATACTGAAAGGCTGGCTCAATTTTTCAGACTTCCATTAATCAATTTTTTTAGTAAGTATTTGATTGAAATCCTAATATTGTCAATTTTGCAACTGGATTATTATTTTATTCATGCTTGTATTGAGACTGAGAGTAGTGTTGCACAGTGTACCGATACTTGAAAGGTACTGCGATACCCTGCCGTTAAAAACGTTACGATTCCTCCGTTTCATTAGTATCGGTACTTTAAGAATGACAGGGAAAAGTGATAAAGCGCTGTTTTAATAAGAGCCGTGTGTGTTCTTGTCATTTTTTTATTTATNGTTCTCATTGTTTGAACGTTTGTGTTATGGTTCTGGTGTGAAATAAAGCATAATAATTACATTTAAGACTGTTTCCCTTTTTTTAAGAAAACTATCAAAAAAGAATTGCAATTCTTGACTTGGTATCGAAACCAAAATCTTGGTATCGTGACAACACTAATTGAGAGAACACATAACATTTGAGAACCTTAATTTATTTTCTTCAATAGAAAAAGCTTTGGGCAAAAAAAATTGTATTTGACATTGTAAGGTATTTTTTGGTACCAAACCATTTGAAATGAAACCAAGCTCTCAATATATCCCACCTACAGTAAAAGGCTGTATACATTTACAGGAGCATTCTTTCCTTTGTTGGAGTTCGCTTCCCCTTTAAACAGGAAATTAGTGCTTTCTCTTGTTCCCCTCAGTTACGGGCTACAAAGAAAGTCACGGTTCCCAACTCTTAATGATTCACCTTGACCTGAGGACAATGAGAGATGTGTCTGCACCGCATGACTGCATGTGCTCTTTGTTCAGAGGACGATAAAGTCAAAGATGTTTGGAGGTCAGATTGATATAACAGCAGTCCCCTCACCCTTTGCTTATAGAAGTCGCCCTTTTTTCCAGGAGGGACCTAAAATCACCTTCCTGTGAGCGTATAACCAGCATCATGGAAAACTTGCAGACGTCCTTTTTATATATATATTTACAAGCTGCCACATTGGCTTGTGTGTACACATGCGAGCCGTATGGCAGGATGTGCCCACAATACGCTCCACTTCCATTCAATTGGTTAATTAAGTCGTTCTTGGTGGCCCGCTTCTATAAACAAAGGCTTCTACAAAGCACGTGTGACGGACAGTTGGAAGTTAACAGGACATGGGAGAAAATGTGGTTCTGGAATGTAACGGATGCCGGGGCTGTGAGCAGCACGTGAGCCTCTGAACTGCTGCGTCTCTCACGTGTTAGGCGTCCTCCAGGGACTCTGTCCACAAGGGAAACGCTAGAGCGCTTTTATTGGGGAAACAGGAAGCTGGCTAAGTGTTAATATTAACATTTTGTTTAATTTCTGTGACATATTATACAGGTAAAGGTATTGAAACCGTATGAATCAAATTCCAATTTACTATCAA